AAAATCTCTGGATAGGCATGTCGAACATCAGTATAGGGTGGAACCTGAGGTAGACACAAGATCTGAGAGTAGACTGGATAGACACCCAGGAGGCTGCAAAGGGCAATAGGCTGCATTAGATATTGACCTTTGCTATTCATGGTGTCTGCAGGTCCTGTTCAACTTGGCACTGTGGACAATTTTGTACATTCTGGATTGTTTACTCACTCGGCCTCTTATACTAGGGAGACAATACTTGCACATGTTTACACCTGCAAGTCTGATTCATTTCAGTTGTAAGTATGGTCCAGTTTGCATCCATTTCTCTAGGAATGTTTCACGTTTATCCTTCTTTATAGCTGGACAGTACTCCACTGTATGAAAGTACCACGTTTTTTATCCATTCCTTGGTTGATGGACATTTGGGTTGTTTCCAAGATTTAGCTATGATAGATTGTATTTTTTTTCCCCTTTGGCAGAACCGGCGATTGAACTCAGGCCCTTGCGCTTGCCAGGGAAGCGCTTATACTACTGAGCCATCTCCCCTGCCCCTATGATAGATTGTACTGCTACAAATATGGGTGCTCATGTATAACCGTGGTATGTCTTTAAATTTTTTTTGTGAAAAGATCCAGAAAGGGAATAGCTAAGGATGAATGAGACCTCTAATCCTACCTGTTATGAGGAATCTCTACGCTGATTTCCATACGGGTGGTACCAGTCTACATTCCCACCAAGAGTGAAGAAGGGTTCCTTTTTCCTATAGCCCCTCCAGCATTTGTTATTGGCTGAATTCTTGGAAATAGCCATTTTTACTACGGTGAAATAGAATCTCAGCATAGTTTTAATTTGCATTTCTTTTTTTTTAATTTGCATTTCTTGAATGACCAATATGCTTAACATAATTTTCATGTATTTATTTGCTATTTGTATTTCTTCACCTCAGAAGTGTGTATTCATCTCAGATGCACATTTTTTGATTAGGTCTTTGAATTTAGGGGGATCTGATTTTTTATTTTTTTAATTTTTTTGGATCTGATTTTTTAAATATTTATATGTTCTAGACAGAAGTACTTTGTCTGAGGGACAGTTGGCAAAAATTTTTTCCCACTCTGGGTTACCTTTTCACTGTTGATTTCTTTTTATATGCTCAAGTTCTTTTTTTTAACATCATGAGGTCACAATTGTTGATTGCTTGAAGTATTTCCCATGCAGTTTGGTTTTTGCTCACAAACTCTGCCTACTGTCTTCAAGATTTCTACCTACTTTCTCTTCTGTAGATTTAGTATTTTTATTTTAATATTTCAATTTTTGATCTATTTTGACTTTCGTTTAGTGCATGGTAACAGACATGGATATAGGTTTAGTCTATGGAATGTAGAGAGCCAATATCTCAAGGATCATGTATTTAAGAGGCTATCTTTCTTCCAGTGACCATTTGGCTCCTCTGTCAAAGATAAGGTGGCCCAATATGTATGTAGTTGTGTCTGCATCTTCTAATCTGTTTTACTGGTCCTCTCAGGTGTATTTTTCTGCCAGTAACATTGCTCATCTTATGTCAGTAGCTTTATAGTATAATTTCAAGTCAGAGATTATGATACCTCTTACCATGCCTTTGTTGTTGTGTCTTCTATTTCTAGATTAATTTTAGGAATGTTTTCTTTAATTCTGTGAAATATAGTATTGTGATTTCATTAATTCTGCATAACAATTTTGGGAATACGGCCATTTTCACTATGTTGGTTCTTCCTATCCATGAGCAAGGGATATCTGTTCATTTTCTAGTATTTTTATCTCCTTTTTCAGAGTACTGTAATTTTCAACATATAGATCCTTTTCTTCCTTTGTTAGATTGATCACTAAGTATTTAATTTTTTGGATACTATTGTGAAGGGGTGATTTCCCTAATTTTACTCTCAGTGAGTTTGTGTACAGGAATGCTATTTTTTTTTTAAATTTTACGTGTGTGTGTGTGTGTGTGGCCAGCTCAGCCCACCAGGGGGCGGGACTGGCTGGCATGTGGTGCTGGGGGATTGAACCACGGTCCCTGTGCTTTGCTAAGCTTGTTCTAAGTAGGTGCTTTAGACCACTGAGCCATCTCACCAGCCTGCTATTGAATTTTGAGTACTGATTTTGTATCCAGCTTCGCTACTGAATTTGGTTATTAACACAAGAGTCTTTTGGTGAAGTTTTTGGAGTCATCTATATATACAGAGTACCATGACATCTGGAAATAACGACAGTTTAACTTCTTCCTTTCCTATTCCTTTTGTTTTTCTCTTTTGTCTAATTGCTCTGGCTAATGTTTCAAGAAGTATACTAAATAGAAGTGGTGACTGTGGACATCATTGTTTTATTCCTGATTTTAGAGTAAAAGTTGTTAGTTTCTGTCCATTTATTATGATGTTTGCTGTTAATTTGTCCTAAATGACTTTTATCACATTGAGGTAAAGATCATTTTCCAATTTTCTGTAGGGCTCACATCACAAGTAAGTGCTAGACAGTATGAAAAAGCTTTTCCTGCATATATTGAGATGATCATGAGTTTTATTTTTGGCTCTGTTTATAGGTTGTACCAAATTTCTGATTTGCAGATGTTGAACTACCCCTGCATTCCTAGGGTAAATCCCACTTGGTCATGGTGTATAACGTTCTTGAAGATTTGCTGAATTATTTGCTAGTATCTTATTGAGGAATTTTGCAATTATGTTCATTAGGGAGATGGACCTGTAGCTTTTTTTCTTTGGTTGGGTCTTTCTCTAGTTTTGATACCAGGGTAAGACTTGCCTTCAGGAATGAGTTAGGGAGTATGGCTTTCCTTTCAATTTCATTAAAGAGTTTGAGTAGTATTGGTAAATCTCTAAATTTCTTGTAGAATTCAGATGTGAATACATCAGGACCTGGCTGTTATCAGTAATTTTTTAATTACATTTCAATCTCATTGATTGATACTGGATTATTCAGAATTTTTATATTTTCTTGATGCAGCTTTGTTAATTCATCTAATCTTAGGATCTGTTCATTTCTTCTGTGTTTTCCATCCTATGAGAGTAAAGGTTTTCAAAGAAAATACTGATGATCTCCTAAATTTTCACTGGATCTGGAATGATTTCACCCTTCCTTGTTCAGTGCATGAACAAGGAAGTGAACAAGGAGTGTTTTCTTTCTCTTTTGACAATATTGGTTAAGGATTTATCAATTTCATTTATTCTTTCAAAGCACCAATTCTTCGTTTATTCTCTGTATTGTTTTGTTGGTCTCCATTGGGCCAACTTTTATTTTAATATTTATAATTTACTCCCTTGCATGAGCTTTAGGCTTGGCTTTTGTCTTTCTAGTAGCTTAAGGTATAACATTAATAAACAAACATGTTTATTTGTATTCATTCTGTTTTCCTGATGTGAAAATTCACCACTATAAATGTCCCTCTTAGGTCTGCTTTCACTGTGTCCCTCAAGTTCTCATATATTATATCTGCATTCTCGTTTACTTGTAGATACTCTTTAATTTCTTTACTTCCTCTATGAGGCATTATTCGTTTGGGAGGGTGTTATCTACTTTCCAAGAGTTTATGGAGTTTTGCTGCTTCTTTTGCCATTAATTTCCAATTTCACTACACTATGGCCAGATAATTTGCATGGGATAATTTCAATTCCTTTGCATTTATTTAAGCTTGTTCTATGGGCTAATATATAGTTTATTTTACAGAACGTACTATGCTTTGCAGCTCAGAATATGTACTGAAAATATCTACTAAGTCCAACTCTTCACAGCTTTGGACAAGTTTTATTATTTCTTTGGTCATTTTTTGTCTCGTTGATCTATCTCTTTGTCACAATGGAATATTGAGGTCTCCTGTTACAACTGTGTTATTGTGTGTTTGATTTTTCATGTCTATTAATAACTGGCATATAGCTGGGTGCTCCAGTATTTGGTGCATGTATATTTTGATTGCTATCTCGTCCTCTTGAATTTTCCCCTAACAAGTAGGTACTGATCTTATTTATCTCTTTTGATTATTCTTGAACTTCATACTGTCTACAAACAGAATACCTACTCCTGATTTTTTTTGGGTTCTTGCTGCATGGAAGATTGTTTTTCATCCTATGAGTTTCAGTCTATGAATTTCTTTTAGAATTAAATGCGTTTTTGTATACAGCATATTGTTGGCTCTTGTTTCTTGACCCATTCTGCCAATCTGTTTCTTTTGATTGGTGAACTATGGCCATTTACATTGATGGTTACAAATACATCTGTCATCGTAGAGAGAAAATTATAGAACTTAAGAAAAATTATAGGTGTAAAATGGAAGTATTTCTTAGCTGAGTGTTACTCATCAGAGAAGGCATAAACTGTCTATATGAATTCCAAATTAACTACATGTTATATTTGCTGTAATACTTATCTTAGTTTCGTCTTACCCCCTGATACGTTAGGCCTATTAAGTGTTTTGTTTTGTTTTTTAAAACTCTTGTTTTTTTTTTTTTTTTTTTTTTTCAGTACCAGGGTTTGAACTCAGGACCCTGCGCTTGTCAGGCAAGCACTTATTCTACTGAGCTATCTCACCAGCCCACGGCTATTAAGTACTAACATTCTCATTTTCAGCTGAAGAGACAAATCCAGAAAGATTAAAATGATTTGGATGTTTCATGACTTGTATATATGAGTTTGAACCAGCGATGTTTTCCTAAAACCATGTCTAATGTTTTACGAGAACCTTAAAACCTAATCAAGACAAGAACTTCAGTACTGTAAAAATAACGAGACAAAAATACAGTTGTTTCCATCCATTAGAATATTAATAGCAGGGTATGGTGGCATACACCTATAATCCCAGCACTCAGGAGCCTGAGGCAGGAGGATCACTGTGAGGCCAGCCTGGGCTACAAAGTGAGCTGAAGGACAGCCTGAACTGCGTTTTTGATCCTGTCTTAAAAAAAATAAAACAAAACAAAACACCCCCCAACCCCCCCAAACGAAAACAAGTATAAAGTTATAAACATTTCAAAATATTTCCTTACTTTCTTATTTGAGTCCTCTTCTGAATTAGAGTCCTTTTCTGAAGATGGTAAGTGTACTACACACTGAATAAGTTGTAAAACCAATGCTGTAACCATCTGAATGTACATAGGTTCTCCATCCATATCACTACTATTCAATCTATAATGATGAAAAAACAATTGAAATCAAATGAATTTTTTTCAATAGATGACATGAAATTAGCCATGTTTCCTGCTATTTTCAAGGTGCCACACAGTCCTTTTATAGGGAAAGTGCCAGAAGATAGGATCAAAAAAAAAAAAAATCAAGGAGGTATGTAACTAGATTTTATCTGGTTTGATAAAACACCCCACAGGTGTTTGGAAACTTTTTAACATCTTAAAAGAGGCCCAAACATCTACTCACCTGTTCAACAATTATTATTATTTTTTAAAGAAGTATTTGCTATAGGGTCTCACTACGCAGCTCATACTCCCAACACTGGGATTACAGATGTGTGCCACCATGCCCAGACTCAGTGGCTGGCTCAGCACACCTGGGGGTGGGGCTGGCGCAGCATGTGGTATGCTGTTCAACAATTACGAAATGCTTTCTTAGTACTAGGCTCTGTGCTTACAATATTAGATTAGGCTTTTCTGGTTAATTACTATCTTTCTTTTGTCTTTAAGCTTATTGGTACAATTTAAACATACATAATGATCATATTCATCATAAAGAGTTTGTACCTTTGTCTTTTTTTATATGCTATATCTTGATTCCTTCCCCCCAATTTTCTCCCCTCCCTTCAATCCCTCTTCCTTTGCTGATGTATAAAGCTTAGTTTCCATGTTATCCTTCTTTTGTTTCTTTCTTTCTTTTCTTTTTTTTTTTTTTGTTGATCAAAAGAAAAGAGGAAATAAGGAGGAAGGAGGAAAGAAAGGAAAAGAAAAAAATTACACGGATTTTGACAATAATTTCATTTTATGTGTCAACTATCGTGATGGTTTCTTTGTCAACATTTCTAGGCATTAACTTCGGTGTTCATAACAGGGTTCCTATGTCTATTTTTACTAAGTTAGAAAAATATCAAGTAATGACTAGGTATTCTCTAATAACTACTATGAAGAAAAGTACTGTACAGTATTTCATACAAATTTCTATATTTTATATATTTTATATGCATGACAGTTAAAATCTGTTATTAAGAATTGTTTATTGAAGTAATTTTAAAAAAAGTCTTCAAGTTTTCTAAATACCAATAGGATTACGTTTTCAAGGCTTTTAAATATATTCTAGTTATTTATCTAGCAAGCGAGGCAGTCATGTGGTACTAAAATCTGCTACATAGTCAGCTCTGATCATCTGTGTTACGAGTACGAGGTTAGTAAGCACTGATTATGAGAATTCAATTTCAAAGTGTTTTGTTCCACTAATGCAAGCTACTAGAATTCTTTTATGTTTATAGTTTTTCTTGAGGTTTACAATTTAACAATCAGTCCAAAAATAATTAAAATAAAAATAATGATTTTATAGAAGACAGCCTATGAAATCTAAAAATAACTACATTTCAAGTCAATGCCTCTAGTCAAATAATAATAATTGCTGATGACAACAAAGATATTAATTCTGACCAAAGCAATATATAACATTTCTTAGTTATAATGTGCTCAGGGATTAAGGAATATTTAACTTCCAACTCTATTTGCTATACACTTAAGAGTAATATTTCAGCTCTTTGTAAAACATTTCAGGGCTCTGCACTATTGAAAACCATTAAAAAGAAAAGAAGCAGAAAATCATTAAATCCATATTTCTAGGTTCCTTATCATAACTCACAAAATCCTCTTTCACTGGCTTGACTTCTTTGAGTCTTATATCCTATTGCTTTTCTTATAGATCAGAAATGATTCTGGTCTATGGCCATACCACCCTGAACATGCCCGATCTCGTCTGATCTCATAAACTAAGCAGGGTTGGGCCTGGTTAGTGCCTGGATGGGAGACCGCCTGGGAATACGGGAAGCTGTAGGCTTTTGCCCTCCTCCCTTGGGGCCAGGGAGATGGTTCAGCAGAATAAGTACTTCCCTGGCAAGCGCGAGGGCCTGAGTTCAATCCCCAGTTCCACCAAAAAAACCAACAATAACAAAAAAGAAAAAAGAGAAATGATTCTGCTATTTGCTGCCTGGAGATAATTTTAACATTGTCACAGAAAGGTGGGGGATTTCTGGCTGCATCTAGTGGGTATGGTATAGATGTTAAGCATGCTACAATTGTGTAAACCGATCACTGTCTGCCCCAAAATGTCAGTGGTGCCCAAGCTGCAAAACCTTGCCAGATCTCGCTATGTGAGTAATACTTAGCTTTTTAAAATTCTCTAAATACATTATTTTGTACATCTGTTTTGTTCTAAATTATGTTTTAATCATTAAGATGTAAATTATACAAAAAAGAAGACAAATGTATGATGGTTATGACACAATGGAGTTCATTATTCTTGACTTCTGCTACAGTTACCTGAAATTCCTTAAACTCCTTTTGCTAGTTGGTAATCTTGCAAGTGAAGTAAAAATTTCTTCCAAAATTAACTGCCTATGTTTTTCATATCTTGAGAATACCTGTTTAGTAATTATAAGATTCCAAATTACACTTACAGTAAAAAACAAAACTGGTAAGATATACATAATGATATTTTATCTACTATTCAGAAAGAATTTTTTGAACATCTTAAGTAGTAATGGCAAGGTAAACAGTCAAAGATTATAGTTTTGCCTCTTAGAGTATACTGTTTCATTTCATTACAGTTTCAGTAATAAAGACAAGATTTTAATAATTTTAAATAATTCTGATTTTATTAAAAATGCTGAGACATAATTAACTATAACATTTAAAAATATGGAGAAGTATTTTTAATAAGAGAATAACCCAATAAATTCATGGAACACGAAAGTGAACTCTCAGCTCATAAAATCCAGTAAGATACTTTAAGATAGTTCTTTCAGTAAAATGAATTTTCTAGAACCTACGAATCTGCACTGACTTTTAGAAGTTGTAATTCAATGACATCAAGATTATTTTATTTGTGGGTTATTGAAATTATAAATTGATACTTACTGCAGTGACTAACTTAATGGCACATAACTGTAGTTCACTGACATTTTCAACAAAAAATGGTGTTATTCCCATTGATGAAACCTGAAATAAAGTAGCGGCTTTCAGTAGTGCTCTGTCTTACTAAATTCTAACACACTGATAAACTTACTAGAAAACCCTGAGGGGTACTTTCCATTTTCTACCTACTCAGCATCTCTACCCTTCCCTGTTCTTCCTTATCTCCGAAGCACACTAGCACATACATCAGATAACTTACTTCAGACCTGCCATTTCTCTTATCACTTTTAGATTGATAAATGCCACAACACTATAAAGAAACAAAAAACATTTCATTTTTTTGGATAAAAATATCCTGACATACTGAAGTAATTTTTGAAAGAATTTATAGATTGTTGACTTTATATTACATTTGTATATCATCTTCCCAAAATGTTTTTAAAATGCCTCTGAATTTTTATTTCTTAATTTCAGGTACAATATATTCTGACTGGAAGGAATCAACATAGTTCTCTAACATTACTGAGTTATTAGAATTACATTAGACTCAATCAGACCCTCTTTTCATAACTATTTTGTCTAGAAATTTATAAAATGCTTCAAAAAATTTACCTGAAGAATTGTTGTATCCGTAAGCAGTTGTATCTCTAGTAATTCTGACAGGCTGCTAACAATGTCACAAACTTTGTTATAAAGCATTACTATTACTCTCTGCTTATGAGTAGAACATTTAGCCCGTTTGGCTTTTGAACTTAATACACCTCCTAAAAGAAAATTCAAGACAAAGAAAATATTAACATTTAATAACTTTTCATAGAGAATACTAATACTTTCAGAACTAAGAGAATAGAAATATTGATAAATAAAAATAATCTGCCAAAGCTGTTAACAGAAAATTATTCTCTAGTGAAAATCTAATAGGAACATTCTTATAACAGAAATGTGAAGGCTGGCCAAATAGCTCAGCAGATTAAAGTATCTGCAAGCAGGCGCAGGGGTAGGGGTTGGATCCCTGGGCCTGCACTGCTAGCCCCGCCCCTGGGGTGTACTGAGATGACAATTGAGACGGGGTGTGGTGGCGTGCCTATACTCCCAGCTCTTGGGAGGCTGTAAATAGGAGGATCACTAAAGTCCGATCTAGTAGTGAGACCCTGAACACCCTGTAGACCCTTCCCTAAAATACAAAAAAACAAAAACAAAAACAAAAACAACAAAACCCACAAAAAAAACCCCAACCAAACGAAAAAACCAAACAAACCAGATAATCAGTACATTTCAGTAGCTATTACATTCTTTTTTTTGCTATTACATTCTTAAATTCAAAGTATTACTTTACAATGATTTTAATTTTTTCCCACTGGAGCAATATATTAATACTTCTTAAATTTAGCATTATTATACAATGAATAATCAATTGCATTTTTTAAAATACTAACTGCTTCACTACACTTTTAGCAAAAGTAAAGTATGAAAGACAATGTGTCCTGAATCCATCCATTTTTTTTTTTTTTCTTTTCTGAATCCATCCATTTTGCAGAAAAGGATTATTTTGGGTGAAATCAGTGAGAAGTAGCAGTGCAACCAGAAGCTACTCTGGTAGCTTTTCTCTAAGTAGTACAAGCAACTTCAATGATGTATAAATACATGTTGAGTACCCTTATCATCAAAATGTTTGAGGGAACAATATTCCAGATCTTATAGTATTTGTATAGAATCAAACAGTTTCAGAAACCCCAATCCCAAAATCTGAAAAGTCCCAAGTAAAAACTTTTCCATGTCATACTAATGCTCAAAAAAAAAATTTCAAAGCGATTTGGATTTTCAGATTAGAGATGCTCAACCTGTAGTTGCTAAAGAAATTACAATTAGAGTTCCATATTCTAGCCAAATACAAAACCCGTGTTCATCACAATTTATGCAATCTTACAGTCCCAGTACCATTATATTTTGACTCATCTAACATGGCAAAATCTTACAGTGGGTAATTCTGATATCATAAAAAATTTCCAATTTAAATAGGCAAACTAACCTCCATGTGGATCTAATCTGTAAACAGGATCATACTGAGGATAGAGTGTATTCTGCAAATGAAACTTAGTGTACTGTATAACTCTCTCGATGACATCTTCAATGTACACAGCTTTTGGCATGTTAGGGGATGTCATGATGTTGATGGTTGTAAGACAGGCATCTGCTGACTTCGTCACTCTCTCCATAATAAGGTCTCTCCATAATCTTTCTTCTTCTTCGGTATCATTATTCTATAAAATAGCACACTGTTAATGAAGTAAGGGTAAACACATGTATGGGTCTGTAATATCAATAAACTTATGATATATTTAATTTTCACTGGTGGAAAACAGTTTCGAGGTTTGTAATCTGAAAAGATATCCAAAAGAAGTACAATATTAACTTCTAAGATTTTTTTATTAATATTTTCAAAAATGATATAATTCTTAATTTCAGCACTGGATGATACTCCAGTGATAAAATTATCTTTTGGGTACTTTATCCAGATTTATGATTTTAGCTTAAAACTACATTGTATGTTAATTTTCTGTCTTCAGTATAAGCAGAGTAGTTCTAAAAATCTTGTGTAAGTCAGCAGAAAGGAAAAATCAATAGTTGAAATTTTATTTAGAAATAGTAATATTATTCAGTTAGTTATCTGAATATCTGATTTTTAACAGCAGTATATTTTCAAACAGATTAAAAAGTAGAGATACATATGGTGCTGGTGGTATAGCTCGGTGGTAAAGTATATGCGAAAAAAAAAAAAAAAAGTATATGCTTAGTGTGTATGAAGCCCTGGGTTCAATTCCCATTCAAAAAGCTAAAGATAGCTTACTATTAAAATGAAAATCATTTATCACCAAATACAAAGTCTATGAGATTACTTCTGAGTAGTATGTGCATACTAGGCACATGTTCTACCACTGAACTACATCCCTAGTGCCAGAACTTTAGACTCTTGATGGTTGTTTACCACAATGTTTTGGTGATGTCTTAATTAACTTGTAGACTTAGAGACTAGACTGCTAGTATAGGCCTCTATAAACCTTGTGCTTCTATGACTAAAGGCTAGTTAAGATCTGGGTAAGGTAGCACACACCTGCAAACCCAGTATTCAGGAGGCTGACACAGGAGGTACGCCACAAATTCAAGGACTGCACTACACAGTAAGTTCAAAACTAGCCTACACTGCATAACAAAACCCTGTCTCAAAAAGACAAGGGCCAGCCAGATAGCTCAGCGGATTAAAGCACCTGCTTAGGCAGACACAAGGGCCAGGGGTTTGATTCCAGGCCTGCCACCTGCCCTGCACACATGGCGTGCTGAGAGGAGATTGAGAATGGGCGTGGCAGCACACGCCTGTAATCCCAGTGCTTGGGAGGCTAAAAAACAGGAAAGATCACAAGTCCCATCTGTGCGGTGAGACCCCATAGACCCTGTACTAAATATATACTAAATATATATGTACATAAAAAAAAAGACAAAACAAAACAAAAATCTAGTTGAGGGACTTGAGCTATAGCCCAGAGGTAAGTAAGAGCAGCTGTCTACCATGGGCAGCCCCAGTTTTAATCCTCAGTGCCACAACAAATAAAACAAAAAATCATAAAAACTAGTTAAGTGAGGATTTAAAAATATACACATATTTAATAATTTAGAGAATTACCACTTGAAATTTTTCTACATATTTATTTCATGAGCTCACTTGGCAATCCTATGGCTTCTACGAATACTAAAGAATGATTTGAGATCAAATCCAGTGTATACATTAACATACACATCTCAAAAGTACTAAAAGTGTGTACTGCTGGATAAGAAGGCAGTTTTTTTTTTTTTTTTTCCTTGTGTTTGCTGCATTTTGGCATTTTTCACCATATAGTTCTTTTGTTATCAGGCTATCTTCTCACATCCCACCCCACAGTGCTATAGACCAAGTCCAGGACCTTGTACACACTAGGTTAAGTGTTTTATCACTGAAATATACTCCCCGCACCTAACCAGGGATTTGAAGATGTAAGGCACCCATTTTACCATTGAGTTACATCCTGAATCCCAATAAAGAAAATCCATTAGCCTACAACTACCCCAAAATTTTAACTCATATTTGTTCATATTAGAAATATCAAGATCAGTCTGAATGTACGTACATAGGATTTACAAAGTCTGCTACAATTCTAGGGAGGTGAATCTTAAGAAATTAAATTTATAAACCCTTGATCCAACCATGTTGTAACTTCTTTTAATATAAACATATTAAAATGTAGTAACAGTTCTAGTCAACATTTATTAATTACAGTAAATGACATACTATTCTAAATGTTTCACATAAATCAATCTATCTATTGAGCTAGGTACATAAAGGGATTAATGTTTTAATATACCTGAAAAATAAACATGAGATTTCTAACATTTTCCTCTGGAGAAGGTCAACAAGAATTATTACCTTACATTACCTCATAAATGAAAGCAAATTTAAAACCCACTCACAGCTGGGTGTGGTGGTACATGCCCCTAATCCCAGCACTATGGAGGCTGAGGAAGGAGCATCTCAGGTTGAGGCCAACCTGGGCTACAAAAGTGAGTTGAGGGCCTCAGCCTGCACTACACAGCAAGATTCTATCTCAAAAACAAAAACACCTAACCATCACCATTAACAAACAACCCCATTCACATATTGAGAAAATCACAAGCTAAGATTTAGTTCTTTAAATTGAATAAATTTTTATCTGTATTCTTCATGGCATGGCTATGAACTGACAATGTGTAACAATTCCAAATTACTAAAAGTAAAATTTTATTAACAATTAATGAATGTAATACTTTCTACTAATAAACTCAATTAAATGAAATATAGAAATTTCCCAATAAATCAAAGTTGCTTATGAGAAAGTGCATATCCTAACAACATTAAGGGTAAAATTCACAATACAGATCAAAGACTTACATGATTTAACAAAGTAGAAAGCTTTGACCCATCCTGAATATTCTTCTCCAAGATATTTAGGACTTTCACAGTTTTGTCAGTTGAAAGCTAAAACAGAAAAATCAATTTTATTAATTGGAAAAAGTTATGTATTATTCAATAATATGTACATTTTTCTTTGGGCTATGGAAGAAACAACATTATTAACCCTCTGAAGAGTACAAAAAAAAGCAGCTTTTCTACCTAGACCCTCGATTTGAATTTGATTTAAAAAGTTTATCACCTGTGTTGATGAGTCAACAAAGGATGCCCACATATTCTGTACCTATGTCTAGTCAAGTGTAGTTAAGTTTATAGTTTATGATGCAAAACTTTCTCCTTGTGGCAGTGACACTGAACACATGTGCACACTGAAGATTTTACTTACTGATTTAATTATAAGCTACAGTTACTCATAAGATTTCTAAAATCCAATCTAGTAAAAGAAAAAGACTAACATGTTTTGAATACAGAACCGGAAGAATGTGAAGGATAAAATCTATGAAAGTGAAATAATATTGTTCAATTTAGTAATATTTTTAATGTCTTGTTTCTTTCTGTTTATGTATTTAGTACAGGGTCTACAGGGTCTCATTACACACATTGGACTCATAATGATCCTCCTGTTTTCAGCCTCCCAAGGGCTGGGATTATAGGCATGCGCCACCACGCCCAGTCTCATTTGCTGTCTCAGCATGCTCGGGGGATGGGCCAGCACGGCACAGCATGCTGGGGAATTGAACCTCGGTCCCTGCTAAATTTGACAGTCTCTGGCCATCCCCTGTTTAATTTCTTTTTCTTTTTTTTGCGGAACCAGGGATTGAACTCAGACCCTTGCGCTTGCCAGGGAAGTGCTTATTCTACTGAGTCATCTCCCCGGCCCCTGTTTAATTTCTTATAAAGGACATTTTCTCAATTTAAAAAATTAATAGTCTACTGGAAGGTTCTGTCAGGAGACAAAAGGTAAGCAAAAATAAGTAGCTAAAAGTGGGAAACATTAAAATATTTTCCAGTTACGTTAAAATTATAAAATTGAAAAATAAGCTTCAATTGTTCAGAATCAACTCCATAAATTAATACAACCTTTTATTAATCTTGAAGGACAAATAATCAACTCTACATTATAGACCAGAAAACTCCAGATTCAGTGCATAGAGTCCTTGATTAGAAGGAGAGGAGCATTCTCTTGAAACTGTGTTTGCATAACAACCAAATGTTAAGTTAAGAGGTGAATGTTAGCTAGTAAAGATTTTGACGAGCCAACTCCATGCTACCACAGTTGTTCAAAATTATCACTGAAAACTTAAATGCTATTTCTTTTTTTTTTTTTTCCTTTGGTGGAACTGGGGAATCGAACTCGGGCCCTTATTCTACTAAGCTATCTCCCCAGCCCCTTAAATGCTATTTCATTAGGGCAATAAAACTATTCCTTAGTAACTGGGGGCTCACAGGAAATAAAGCTCACAAAATCCTATACTATGAGGCTATGTATATAGTAACTTAAAAACGGCAATATTTTCTAGCTTGGGAAATGTGTTGACACTCTTTTACAACCCTAAATGAATAAAAATATGACAAAAAATTTAGTAATTTTTTAATAATTTATGTGAGAAACTGAAAAATTAATGAAAGAAAGAATCAAGGCCCATGCTTCTTTCAATTCGGTAGTATTTTCTGTAGAATAAGCTATAGAAAATTGCTTTTATTCAACTTTTTGACATAAGAATTCACTTAGTGTCTCAGAAGATATGTTGTTTTCATTTTTATATAAATTTTATCCTAAAATCATAAAACTAATTTCAGGTCACCTACTAAGAACATTTCACAAATTTTACTTGTGCCTAGACTCCCACCCCCACCTCCACTCCACGTGCCTTAAGCAGTCACAGGTGGGGCTTTTCAGAGGTGGCTGGATCTAGCATGTATGATGCTTGCATTAAGGGTATGTGATTACTAATTAGTCTACAGATTGGTTTGGCATAGTTCTGGGTGTGAGTACTACCTGCCCTGAAGGCATGTGAACTGGACCGTAAGGGAAAGACACAGGGTTACTGCAGGGGATGGCTTGCTGCCTTGCTGCTTTTGTCATCTTCTGCGACACGAACTATTTTTCTCCTCTGCCATGCTAACTTGCCCTGGAGTCAGCTAATCATGGAGTGTAACCTCTATAAACTGTGAGTCAAAGATCAACCTCTCTTCCTTTATTTTTTGTATTTTAGGGAAGAATCTAAAGAGTGTTGTTCAGGGTCTCACTACTAGATCGGACTTACAGTGATCTGCCTATTTACAGCCTCCCAAGAGCTGGGATTACAGGCATGTGTCACTGTCTCATACACCATCTCAGTGTGCCCCAGGGGCAGGGCCGGCATGGCAGGCCCAGGGATTGAACCCTGGCCCCTGTGCGTCTGCTGTGCTATTTGGCCAGCCCTATCCTCCTTCAATTTTAGGTATTGTGTATTTTGTCTCAGCGATGACAAAAGTAACTTAAGATCCTGAGATACCTTGTCCATTATGCCCATTGCTTTAATTTTAGCAGATTCACTGCCAAGTTCATTGAGCTGATGTTTCCCTAAGAGTAGTTCCTGAGGAATTTCATCATCGTCCCCTGAAAAAACAAACAAACACAAACACGGTTTAAGTAAAGGAAATAGTTCAAAATGGTAGGCTTAACTTTTTTTATTTTTTATTTATTTTTATTTTTTATTTTTGGCTTAACTTTTAAATAAAATTTCTGGTCACAAAGAGATATGAACAAACTAAAGAAGGGGTCAGTAACAAACCTCAAGCAAACTGAATGGAAGAGGGCAGGAATAAAATTAAGAATACCTATTTCTGCACCTTTCCTATTATCTAGATTCTACTTAACCTTTACCTATATAATGATTTCATTGATTATGTTAATCTGATGTGGAAGCTGTACTCAGGATGAAGACATTATCAAGACTCAACTATTGGGGCTGGAGAGATGGCTCAGTGGTCTAAAGCACCTACTTGGAACAAGCTTGGCAAAGCACAGGGACCGCGGTTCAATCCCCCAGCACCAC